GTCTCCCTCCTGCTGGTGCTGGTGATCCTCGCCCTCGAAGTCCAGGATTTCTGGTCGAGCTGTAACCAACACTGCCATGGCCAACACCACCAACAATGTCTTTAAGGAAAAAAGCGCTTTTATTATTTCTCGGATATTTCCCAGTGATATATCCAAGCTGTATAAATATATTTCTTTTGAACTTTCTCAGCACAGTGTAAAAGATGCAGCATTTAAAGTATCCATACACGCTCAGACAATGCTTCAAAGAGCACCAACCATAGACTTCATCATGATATTTCTGAGGTCTTCACTGTGTCAGACAAAGCAGTGCTATGACACACCTTCCTCATAGCAGGCCTTTTATACCAAACGCAGGGAAGGAAATCCACACCACAGACACAGGTAACGCTCTAGCCTCTTTGTCTTCGGCTCGTTGGTCAAAGGAAGGCCAGGATATGAAAAAAGGGAGGAAAACATTCTGCTGTTCGTCAGGGCCATGGAGCAAGAGAGTGAAGGCCACAGAGGGGATGTGCGTGGTTGAGAACTTTGTACTTCGGTGCCTTTTTGGATTCCAACATTTAATGAGGTTTTATTTCGGTTTTTACCTCATACACGCCCATATAGACGTACATACACATACATTTTCATACCCATACACACATCTTTATCGAAAGACAAATAAATGTAGAATCACATGTACATATCCATGTAGATATGGAAACAGACTTGTATATATGTATATAAAGCTAAAATTCGAGCACTCTAGATATGACCAAGAGTGAGTAGGACTTCGCCAATTTGAACTGGGTCAATATATATATATATATATATATATATATATATATATATATATGTAACACATATATGCATATATACATATGTATATGTATATGAATGAAATTATACATATATGTTTATGTATACATATACTTACATGTATATGTATATATATATATATATATATATATATATATATATATATATATATATATATATATATTTAATATATACAGGTAAGTATATATACACGTAAGTATGTATATACATACATATATATGTATATATATGTTTACACTAAATAAAATTACACATACACACACAAACAAACACACGCATCCCTTTCTTATTTTCCTCCTCCAAAGTCATTCTGTCTCTTTCTGTCTGTTCGTGTGTGTGTACATAGATAATACATGGCTAGAAGCCTCTTCCCAAACACACCCTCCATTTTCCTGCTCCCTCCTGTTTCCTTTTCCTCTGGCACCTTTTCCCTATCAAGGAAAAAAAAATAATGCTCTTTGAGGGCGGGAGGCCTTTGGAAACACGAGCATCTGGCAGAGAAATAGGCATCGCATGATCAGAAAGTTAACAGTATAGCATAATCCTGATTAGAAAAAAAACTCATTGCTAAATCTATGGAGTGGGTACTTCCATTTTATTAAGGGTACAGTGGTCTTTAATTAACTAATTTTATTTCCTAATGTTCTCTTGTTTTCTGTTTATCTTCTTCCTTTTGTTTTGTTTTCTTCCACTTTATATAAATTTGATAAATTCATAATATATACATACACATATCGGGAAGTTTAAAGTTGTTCTATCAAGGACTTATATTTTAATTGCGTTGATAAGATGTTTCAAATTTGCTCCATTTTTTTATGTGTGTGCTTTGGTTTTTCTCTCAAATAATCATTCTGAAGTCCCAGTTGTAGATTAATACATGGCTAAAAGCCTCTTCCCAAACACACCCTCCATTTTCCTGTTCCCTCCTGTTTCCTTTTCCTCTGTCCAACAAAGATGCAGGAACTGTACAAAAATCCATTAGTCTAATCTCATTTACATGAAACTTCTGTTATTCTTTTAGTCATTAACTTTTATATCCGCCGAGCTACCCTTTCCTCCCTCTGGATTTCATTTTTTTATTTGTTTGCTTTTCATCTGTTTCTTTCGTTACAGCTAATCTTCATTACTATCGCAGGGAAGATGAGGAGGCATCGTCGAGCTGCGTGACCCACAGTAATCTTAGTTGACACACAGGCGGCGAATAATATGCGTTTTCAGAAATGAGCCTGTTCTATGTATGGTCTTTGGCATATACAATGATTAGGATTTTTGTGATTTACATAAAACATTTTTTTTTGATTCAGTAATAAGAGAAATTGTATGTTTGAGATTTTATTGACGTGGCAGTCTACATGGCAATGAGCCAACAACTACCTGCGTTGATTTCGATTTTCAACATTAGAAAGAGTGTCATATCGTCCTCTGCTTTCTCCTTCCATTCGCATCGTTCCCCGCCTCCTACTTCTTCCATTCAGTTGTTTCTCCTTCTTCCCCTGTCCTTATCGCTCTCCTCCTTCTTCCTCCCCAAAGGCTCCCTGGCTGCCGTCCGCCGCCGTTCCGTCGTGGTTCACGGGCACGGCGTTCGACTCCAGCACCCGGTAGCCGTCCTCGTCGGCGACGTACTTGACGTGGAACTCCTCGCCTTCGGGGGACGTCCAGCTGCAGGGGAGTCATTGAGGATCAACATGAGTCATGTTAGGTGTAGAATCAATTATAGTGTTGTATCATTAAACTAGCTAAATGCGTTATTTATCGTGAAAACATATCTTCCTTAATGATACTATCGAAGACACATTCCTGAAATGACAGACGATTGTGAGGATGTGGCTTCCTGCCCTTTGCTGACCTGTAGGATCCTTCCACGTGCTCCCCGGCGTCTCCCTCCTGCTGGTGCTGGTGATCCTCGCCCTCGAAGTCCAGGATGTCTGGCCGAGCTGTAACCAACACTGCCATGGCCAACACCACCAACAATGTCTGTAAGGAAAAATCGCTTTTACCATTTCTCGGATATTTACCAGTGATATTTCCAAGCTGTAGAATTTTTTCTTTTGAACTTTCTCTGTACAGTGTAATAGATGCAGCATTTAAAGTGTCCATACACGTTCAAAGAATGCTTCAAAGACCACCAACCATAGACTTCATCATGATGCAGATTTCCGAGGTCTTCACTGTGTCAGACAAAGCAGTGCTATGACACACTTCCCTCACAGCAGGCCTTTTATACCAAACGAAGGGAAGGAAATCCACACCACAGACAGGTAATGCTCTAGTCTCTTTGTCTTCGGCTCGTTGGTCAAAGGAAGGCCAGGCTATGGAAAAAGGGAGGAAAACATTCTGCTATTTGTCAGGGCCATTGAGCAAGAGGGTGAAGGTCACAGAGGGGATGTGCGTGGTTGAAAACTTTGTACTTCGGTGCCTTTTGGGATTCCGACTTTTAACGACGGTATTTTCTTTCATTTTTTTACCTCATACACGCCTGTACATATACATAAATTCACATACCCATACACACATCTTTATCGAAAGACAAATAAATGTAGAATCAGATGTACATATTCATGTAGATATAGAAACAGACTTGTATATATGTATATAAAGCTAAAATTCGACCACTCATGATATGACCAAGAGTCACTAGGAATTAGGCAATATATACACAAAAACACACACATATATATATTGAGTAGGACTAAGGCCATTTGACCTGGGTCAAATTGGTTATATATATATACATTTATATATATCTACTTACATACATACATTTACACATATACATATGTATGAATGTAATCATATATATATATATATATATGTATATATATATATATGTATATATATATATATATATATATGAATACGTGCAAATAAATACTAATATATATATATATATATATATATATATATATATATATATATATATATATATATATGTATATGTATATTTAATATATACACACACGTGTGTATATATATATAAGTATATACATATGTAAGTATATATATACACATGTATGTATTTATATATGTTTACATTGAATAGAATTACACACACACACACAAACACACACGCATCCCTTCCTTATTTTCCTCCTCCAAAAGTCATTCTGACTCTCTATTCATGTGTGTGTGTGTGTGTGTGCATGTTACATAGATTAATACATGGCCAAAAGCCCCTTCCCATTCCCATTCCTTTTTCCTGTGGCACCTTTTCCCTATCAAGGCAAAGAGCCCACTTTATCTTCTTTGAGGGCGGGAGGTCTTTGGAAACACGAGCATCTGACAGAGAAAGAGACATCGCAAGATCAGAAAGTTAACGGTATAGCATTGAAAAAAAAAACTCATAGCTGGATCTATCTAGTGGGTACTTCCATTTCATTAGGGGTACAGTGGTCTTTAATAAACTAGTTTTTTTCATAATGTTCTCTTGTTTTCTGTTTATCTTCCTTTTTTTCTACGTTATATGAATTCGATAAATTCATAAAAGAAAAAAAAAATCTATCGGGAAGCTTAAAATTCTTCTGCCAAGGACATATTTTTTAATCGCGTTGGTAAGATGTTTCATATTTCTTCCATCTCTTTTTGTGTGTGTGTTTTTGAAGTCCCAGTCGTCGATTAATACATGGCTAAAAGCCTCATCCTCACCCTCCGTTTTTCTGCTCCCCACTGTTTTCTTTTCCTCTGTCCAACAAAGATGCAGGAATTGTACAAAAATCCCATAGTCTAATCTCATTCACATGAACTTCTGTTATTCTTTTAGTCATTAAGTTTTCCATCCGCCGAGTTACTTCCTCCTCCCTTCTGTATTTTTTTGTTACAGCTAATCGTCATTACTGTCACAGGGAAGAGGAGGAGGCCCCAGCATCGCCGAACTGCGTGACCCACAGTATGTGTGGCTTTCTATAATCGTCGGTAAACAGGCGGCGTATAAAATGCGTTATCAGAAATGAGCCTGTTATATGTATGGCCTTCGGCATATACAAATTTATTTTGATTCAATAATAAGAGAAACTGTATGTTTGATATTTTATTGATGTGGCGGTCTACATGGCAATGACCCAACTACCTGCGTTGATTTTGATTATCAACATTAGAAATAGAGATCCCTATCGTCCTCTGCCTTCTTCTTCCATTCGCATTGTTCCCCGTCTTCTTCCATTCAATTGTTTCTCCTTCCCCTGTCCTTATCGCTCTCCTCCTTCTTCCTCCCCGAAGGCCCCCTGGCTGCCGTCCGCCGCCGTCCCGTCGTGGTTCACGGGCACGGCGTTCGACTCCAGCACCCGGTAGCCGTCCTCGTCGGCGACGTACTTGACGTGGAACTCCTCGCCTTCGGGGGACGTCCAGCTGCAGGGGATTTATCCGTGACTAAACATTGGCTTGTTGTTATATGCAACATATTACAGTATTCATTACTCCCTTTTAGACTGATTGGATAAATAGATTATCTATATGATGCTTAATGCGTACTCGGTGATTCAAAATATGTTTCAGAACTAGTACTAATATCTGAAGAGAGTATTTCTTCTTTATATTCTTCCTAAAGTCAAGCTGACCTGTAGGATCCTTCCACGTGCTCCCCGGCGTCTCCCTCCTGCTGGTGCTGGTGATCCTCGCCCTCGAAGTCCAGGATGTCTGGTCGAGCTGTAACCAACACTGCCATGGCCAACACCACCAACAATGTCTGTAAGGAAAAAAATCGCTTTTACCATTTCTCGGATATTTACCAGTGATATATTCAAGCTGTAGAAATTTTTCTTTTGAACTTTCTCTGTACAGTGTAGTCGATGCAGCATTTAAAGTATCCATACACGCTCAGACAATGCTTCAAAGAGCACCAACCATAGACTTCATCATGATATAAATTTCCGAGGTCCTCACTGTGTTAGACAAAGCAGTGCTATGACACACCTCCCTCATAGCAGGCCTTTTATACCAAACGCAGGGAAGGAAATCCACACCACAGACACAGGTAACGCTCTAGCCTGTTTGTCTTCGGCTCGTTGGTCAAAGGAAGGCCAGGCTATGAAAAAAGGGAGGAAAACATTCTGCTGTTTGGCAGGGCCATTGAGCAAGAGGGTGAAGGTCGCAGAGGGGATGTGCGTGGTTGAAAACTTTGTACTTCGGTGCCTTTTTGGATTCCAACATTTAATGAGATTTTATTTCGGTTTTTACCTCATACACGCCTGTACATACACATAAATTCGCATACCCATACACATCTTAATCGAAAGACAAATAGATGTAGAATCAGATGTACATATTCATGTAGATATAGAAACAGACTTGTATATATGTATATAAGCTAAAATTCGACCACTCATGATATGACCAAGAGTCACTAGGAATTAGGCAATATACACACAAACACACACACACATATATATACAGAGTAGGACTAAGGCCATTTGACCTGGGTCAAATTGGTTATATATATGTATATACATTTATATATATCTACTTACATACATACATTTACACATATACATATGTATGAATGTAATCATATATATATATATATATATGTATATATATATATATATATATATATATATATATGAATGAATACGTACAAATAAATACTAATATATATGTATATGTATATATATATATATATATATATATATATATATATATATATATATATATACATTTGATATATACACACACGTGTATATATACAGGTAAGTATTTACATATGTAAGTACATATATACATAGGTATGTATATATATATGTTTACATTGAATAGAATTACACATACACACAAACAAACACACACGCATCCCTTATTTTCCTCCTCCAAAAGTCATTCTGTCTCTTTCTGTTCATGTGTGTGTGTGTGTGTGTGCATGTTACATAGATTAATACATGGCCAAAAGCCCCTTCCCATTCCCATTCCTTTTTCCTGTGTCACCTTTTCCCTATCAAGGAAAAGCGCTGACTTTAGCCTCTTTGAGGGCGGGAGGCCTTTGGGAACACGAGCATCTAGCAGAGAAAGAGACATCGCAAGATCAGAAAGTTAACGGTATAGCATAATCCTGATTAGAAAAAACCTCATTGTTGGGTCTATGGAGTGGGTACTTCCATTTCATTAGGGGTACAGTGGTCTTTAATAAACTAATTTTTTCATAATGTTCTCTTGTTTTCTGTTTATCTGCTTCCTTTTTTTCTACTTTATATGAATTCGATAAATTCATAAAGGAAAAAAAAACTATCGGGAAGCTTAAAATTGTTCTGCCAAGGACATATTTTTTAATCGCATTGATAAGATGTTTCATATTTCTTCCATCTTTTTTTATGTGTGTGTTTTTGAAGTCCCAGTCGTCGATTAATACATGGCTAAAAGCCTCATCCTCACCCTCCGTTTTTCTGCTCCCCACTGTTTTCTTTTCCTCTGTCCAACAAAGATGCAGGAATTGTACAAAAATCCCATAGTCTAATCTCATTCACATGAACTTCTGTTATTCTTTTAGTCATTAAGTTTTCCATCCGCCGAGTTACTTCCTCCTCCCTTCTGTATTTTTTTGTTACAGCTAATCGTCATTACTGTCACAGGGAAGAGGAGGAGGCCCCAGTATCGCCGAACAGCGTGACCCACAGTATGTGTGGCTTTCTATAATCGTCGGTAAACAGGCGGCGTATAAAATGCGTTTTCAGAAATGAGCCTGTTCTATGTATGGCCTTCGGCATATACAAATTTCTTTTGATTCAATAATAAGAGAAACTGTATGTTTGATATTTTATTGATGTGGCGGTCTACATGGCAATGACCCAACTACCTGCGTTGATTTCGATTATCAACATCAGAAATAGAGATCCCTATCGTCCTCTGCCTTCTCCTTCTTCCATTCGCATTGTTCCCCGTCTTCTTCCATTCAATTGTTTCTCCTTCTTCCCCTGTCCTTATCGCTCTCCTCCTTCTTCCTCCCCAAAGGCTCCCTGGCTGCCGTCCGCCGCCGTCCCGTCGTGGTTCACGGGCACGGCGTTCGACTCCAGCACCCGGTAGCCGTCCTCGTCGGCGACGTACTTGACGTGGAACTCCTCGCCTTCGGGGGACGTCCAGCTGCAGGGGATTTATCCGTGACTAAACATTGGCTTGTTGTTAGATGCAACATATTACAGTATTCATTACTCCCTTTTAGACTGATTGGATAAATAGATTATCTATATGATGCTTAATGCGTACTCGGTGATTCAAAATATGTTTCAGAACTAGTACTAATATCTGAAGAGAGTATTTCTTCTTTATATTCTTCCTAAAGTCAAGCTGACCTGTAGGATCCTTCCACGTGCTCCCCGGCGTCTCCCTCCTGCTGGTGCTGGTGATCCTCGCCCTCGAAGTCCAGGATTTCTGGTCGAGCTGTAACCAACACTGCCATGGTCAACACCACCAACAATGTCTGTAAGGAAAAAATCGCTTTTACCATTTCTCGGATATCTACCAGTGATATTTCCAAGATGTAGAAAGATATTTCTTTTAAACTTTCTCTGTACAATGTAAAAGATGCAGCATTTAAAGTATCCATACACGCTCAGACAATGCTTCAAAGAGCACCAACCATAGACTTCATCATGATATAAATTTCCGAGCTCTTTCACTGTGTCAGACAAAGCAGTGCTATGACACACCTCCCTCATAGCAGGCCTTTTATACCAAACGAAGGGAAGGAAATCCACACCACAGACACAGGTAACGCTCTAGCCTGTTTGTCTTCGGCTCGTTGGTCAAAGGAAGGCCAGGCTATGAAAAAAGGGAGGAAAACATTCTGCTGTTTGGCAGGGCCATTGAGCAAGAGGGTGAAGGTCACAGAGGGGATGTGCGTGGTTGAAAACTTTGTACTTCGGTGCCTTTTGGGATTCCGACATTTAATGAGGTTATTTTGTTTCAGTTTTTACCTCATACGCGCCCAATATACACGTACTTACATATACATTCGTATGCCCATACCCACATATCTTCATAGATAAATAGATGTAGAATCAGATGTACATATTCGTGTTGATATGGAAACAGACTTGTATATATGTATATAAAGCTAAAATTCGACCACTCTAGATATGACCAAGAGTGAGTAGGACTTCGTCAATATGAACTGGGTCAAACTGACTAAATAGACACACAAACACACACATATATATACATATATACATACATACAAATATATACTGAATAGGGCTAACCCATTTGACCCGGGACAAATTGGCTATATATATACAAATATATTTATATTTAGACACTTCCGTACATATATATGTGTGTGTATATATAGGCATATATATGTATATATATATATATGTATATATATGTGTACATACATGTATATATACTTACATGCATTTATATATGCATATATATACATATGAATGTTAAATACACACACACGTGTGTATATATAAGTATATATATACATACATATACATATCTGATTACATTGGATAGAATTACACATACACACAAACAAACACACACGCATCCCTTTCCTTATTTTCCTCCTTCAAAAGTCATTCTCTCTCACTCTCTATCTCCCTCTGTATGTATGTATTCACATGTACATAGATTGATACATGGCTAAAAGTCTCTTCCCAAACACACACTCCACTTCCTTTTCCTTTGGCATCTTCCTCCCTATCTAGTAAAAGCGCTGACTTTAGCCTCTTTGAGGGCGAGAGGCCTTTGGAAACACGAGCATCTGGCAGAGAAACAGGCATCACATGTCTAGAAAGTTAACAGTATAGCATAAGCCTCATTAGAAGCAACTTGTTGGCGGATCTACGGAGTGGGTACTTCCATTTCATTAGGGGAACAGTGGTCTTTAATAAACTAATTCCATCTCGCCATCTCTTATTTTCTATTTATCTTTCTTTTGTTTTTCTCTCTACTTTATGTGAATTCAATAAATAAATTCACACAAAAAAACCTTTATTGGGAAGCTTAAAGTTGTCCTACAAAGACTTATATTCTTTAATTACGCTGATAAGATGTGTCATATTTCTTCCAGCGTTTTTTCTCTCTTAAATAATTATTCTGAAGTTCCAGTTTCGTTTTTCGTTTTTCCTTTTTGTGCCCTGTACTATCCAATAAGACAGGAATTGTACAAAAATCCCTTATTCTATTCCTATTCACATGAAACTTGTTATTCTTTTATTCATTAACTTGTCCATCCTCATAGCTACCTTCTCCTCCC